AACTTTGTATAACATGTATACAAGAATCTTAATAAAGGTGATCGGCAAGGCTGCCTAAGGAAAAAAAAAAAAAAAAATACCATATAGTGTGGGCTAAAAGAAGCCTAAAATATATATTAAAATCGATAATTATAATTGACATCCCCTGGTAACACTCACAAAGTACAACTTATATCTCCTATGCTAACTATAGTATTCCTCCGACTATAATCACATATATGCAGATAACTTGTTAGAGTGCTCTGGAATTTTAGTCCACATTATACAATCTAAAATTAACTTCTCTAATAACGGGAATTCTATTGAATATAAAATGAAAGAATTACAATTAATTCAATAATCATTGCATTTAAGCTAAAAAGGACAAGAATTTATGAAAATTCAAAATTACAATTTGAAATGTGTTAGTCACGATAAAAATTACTAAAAATTACGAAATACAGTTTAGAAAATACGCAAGAACTTTATTAATTAATTTGATGATTTCATAAAATGTGTAGTAAAAATAAATAAGGTAATAAAAAGTAATTTGCAAGAGGTAAGGATTGGACCGGGTAAAAATGATTATTATATAACCATCTGAGATATATATAATTTACCCGGGTAAGTTGGGTAAACTAATAATACCCGGGTAAATATTTTCTCAACGGGTTTACTCCATAGCGAAAGAAACGAAAAAAACTTGTTTCCCCAAAGTCGATCGCCTGGTAAACTATAATTTTTGAACAGAATGTTCAAATCGACACTGGACAAACATTATTATCGCGTTACTTGAAAAATCATGTAGAAGTAAAAAGAAATTAGACTAGTAATTTCACGTTATTATCTTCATTTTCTTGTGAAGATTAAAGAAGTTTAAAGTTTTAAAAGACGGAAGCAACGAAATTATTTATTATAATATAAATCCGGATTTAATCATTAAATCCGGATGCAGGTATTAACTCTACTTCAAACCTCGTTAACATTTTTTTTTAATAAAATTATCAGTGTGACATAACATAATTTCTAGTTGAGAAGCTACGTTTTTAGAATTTTTGGAATATCCTATGTATAAAGTCCGTGGATAATGTTAGAATACTTATATAAACTTATTAACCATAACATAGTATAGACAGATTAATTTTACCTACCGTTTTCACATTCCTTCTTATTGCCACGAGTCCCAGTTAATGTAAGTGATGATAAAAGTCACTTTGAAAATTTAAACCTCGCATATCATCTTGATCCTCTGCCGAAATATAAATTGTACTGTGACTTTCAACCGTAGCATCAAATGACATACTCGCCCATCTAGACATTAACATTGTTGAGCCAAAATTGGTGTATCTTGTTCCTCTATATTAATGTTATATTTGTCAGAAGGATTTTCAATCATCGCAACGGGCAATCCCTTTCGACCAACTAAGACACTCTCCCATTCAACATTTCTAGTGTCGTTAATGTTATTACTTTCTCCACCAAATTCACTCCGGTCGAATCGGGAAATCTTTTAATGGAAAACATGACAACACAGTATTTTGTTTCGAAAAATGCGTCATCTAATGATGCCCTACGTGATCTACTTAAAATTGGCAATGTTGTATAAAGAATCGTATCTGTTGATATCACACAAAATTTTTTTATTACTGTATAATGTACATTAGAAAATAAAATCAATATATATACCATATATTGCAGCATCATCGATATTATTTTCCCAAACAGTGTTATTTTAGTATGTCCGCATTCACTCAACATCCAAGCTTGGAGCTTACACTCGAATTTGTGTAGTGTTCATCCCTTTCTTGTCATCCTTTTCCGTACACCCATTACCAATTTTATCCTCCTCATTTTCCACCACTTTTAATCAAATTTTCTTCACAATTATAGCGCACACAAAGTTTTCTATATAATATTTTTAATTTTGATTTGAAAAGCAGTGAAGCTAAAAAAAAATAAAATTTGCGTAACGCAAAGGGATACGAATTAGAAAGAAAGATTGTACTGTGCCACTCAAAACGAAGAGAACGAAGAGAACGAAGAGAGCGTTGGTTTCTATAGACGGTTCTGTTTCTTTATTCTAAATAAATTAAAAAAAAAATTAAGCACATCATAACATCATCGTACCCATAACACAAGCTTGCCTCATTGGCTTCACTCATGCTATATTCTCAGGTCTACAACCAGCGATTTCACTCCTGGAAGTCCTAAAGACCCTGGCAGAAGGACTCACTCTGGCCAGCGTAACTTACACCCGAGAATATACATAATCATGCAATGCTCAGTATAAGAAATCTCAATTATACCTTAACGGTTCTGTTTCTTTATTCTAAATAAATTAAAAAAAATAAAAAAATAAGCACATTATAACATCATCATAATCTATTATGAAATAAAAAGAAAATATATTTTTTTTATCATGTACATTTTTTTAAGTCGGTATCAATTAGGCCGTTAATTGGGTCTTCGTCACTTTTATCATTAAAGTTCTTCTCAACTACGAACCCCGAAGTGTTTCGACATATTTTAATGATTTGTTTTTTATATTTGAAGCGCTTTTCATTTTCCTAAAAAAAAAATAAAAATAAAAAAATATGAGCACATCATACCATCATCGTGTTTATGATTGGAACGTATCTGTGATATTGCCCTATAACCATGCTCACGGGTCTACAGTGGGCGATTATACCAGCGAAAGACAGTCCCGGTATCTCACTCAACCACCAGCGTGACTTACACCCGCGTGCCCACTAGGCATGCAATACCCAGAAAGTGTAAGACTTAAATAGCTGCTTCTCACTCGTCGTATTTTTTCAATGGTTCCTTCTTTGGGCGTCCGTTGGCTTCCATAATCTATTATAAATTTTTTTGTGAATGCATTTTTTTAAAGGTAAGTTGGATACAAAATAAGGACACCATGTTTAAGCAAACACACAAATGTTAGGTATAATTTTTCTTCGAAAAATAAATAGAAGCTTACGGTAGTGGATTCATTTGCTGCTAGGTTCAATGACGCGACAAACAAAAATTGGGACTGTCTCAACAGCAAGTCAAGTAAGATAATAATAATAATAATAAAAAAAGCTTTATAAGAGGTGGTGCAACTTGTGCGGCGCACAATCCGCACAGCGAAAAGTAATAACTACTGAGTGGGAAAAAAAAAGTTTTTTTTTGTAAAACTAAGTACGTCTTCCATAGTTGCTTTTTATATATTTATATATTTTGTAAAGATCACCTTTTCTATTAATACAGTTAGAGTAAATGGTTATAGTAAACACTGATCGATTATAATTTCATATCGATATAGAACGTTTACTATAGGCATCCAATAAGATTTCAGCTAATTAGACGCATTTTAATTATTCCGGACCAGTTCGAAAAGAAAAAAGTGAAATACTCAAAAAACTAGTGTTTTGTATTATTTGCCCTAAAAAGGAAAGAGGCATTCGGCGTTCATTTTTGTTGTTTTCAACGCCTGACTTCCTGATCTTTCGATCTAATTGGATAAAAATCACGAGGAGGGGAAAATTTCTAAAATGATCGAAAATGTTTAACCTGAAATTTCACGTATAGTAACAGTTTACACTAAGTTCGCCAGGTTCGCATCAAGATTAGAATTGAAGATTATATAATGGAGTAGGAAAAATTGTGAATATTTTTTATTTGATCTATTAACTATGTTTATTTATTATTTTATTTTATATATATATTTAATTTATTCATTTGGTTTATTTATTTTATTTTATATTTCCTTTTTACTCCCACCCTTTGTTCTCTCGATTTTTCCCACCGCAAAAACTTGTTTTTGACGAGTCAAGAGACATCAACAATAATGCAAA